AATGCATATTAGATGAGGAACCGCAAACAATTTCATAATTATGTTTCGAGCATGGTCTTGTTAGATAATATTCACTACTTTTTCTTTATTATTTTGGGAAATAATTAGCTTTATCACCTTCATTTATCCTTAGTTTTATCAATTTAAAAATTATGGGCTCATAATTATGTTTCGAGCATGATCTTTCCACAACTATGAATTGTATCCAATACTTCGATTTTACGTAAATGAGTAGTTAAAGGAAAAAAATATATATTATTATATTTTATTATGATTTATTAAGATTAAAATATGTCAATTGTGTGATTTTTAAAATGTCATAGGACTTTTTTTAAGGTAATTATGCAACTTAAAAAAAAAATCTTAATAGTTTATATATAATTTGTATGATGGACGTTTACTTTTCTCATTTCATATAAAATGACCTTTTTCATGGAATAGTGTGCATCCTCTTTGTATATAACCCTATTGATGAATGTACTTTATATGAAACAAAAAAAAATAAAAATAATATATATATATATATATACACAGAGAGAGAGAGAGAGAGATGTATTGAGGGAGTATTTATTATATTGTTATTTAAATATTTTATTATGAATTTAATAACAAATAAAAAGTATCTTAAATAAATATTATTTTAAAAAATAATAATGAATATTTTGAAGTGACAGTATATTTACTCATTACATGAAAAGTGCTTCGTTATCGTGAAAAAGTTTTTTCGGATTATTAAGTCCGATGATAGATGGATTCCGGCAAAGTCTTCAAAGTTTAAATTAGGCACATTTCAATTATAGATCAATAAAAGAAACATTGATTAAAAATGTAGTATATAACTTAATTGAAGGATATTTAAGGATACTTGAATTTTAATTATAAACTATTGTAATAAAATATTTTAATTAAATTAAAAATATTTTATATTAATTTAATTTAAATAATAATGAATATATATGTTAATATAGATAAAATTAAAGCATGATATTATTTAAATTTACAATTATAAAATTTTGTTGATAATTATAATAATTAGATTCAGACTTAATTTGATAGATAAAAATATTGCTTATTTTAATTTTTGAAATATCTATTAAATTTAACTTTTTTAAGGCAATTAAATTTAACGCTAATATAATCTTTAATTCACTCCTTTCAATTTAAAATACCTTTTTTTTTTGTCATTACTTCTACGATGTTCATGGGCCTGCACTTTAGTGCCTCAACTTTACATTTTGGAATCAATAAATGGATGTTTCTTTTTCTTGACGTTCCGGAGCAAAGAAAACGTCTGTTGACATGGTATGGTATTAATGCATGGTCATAGATATTATCATTTGAGTGATGTTATATCTTTTATAATATAATTTTATTTTTTATATATTTTATTCAAAATATTAAATAAAATTATAAGATATTTTAATATCTTTAAAATATAAAAATATCTAACATTGTCTTTATTCATAAATTAAATTTTTTATAAGTGTAATTACAACTATTCTTTATCATGTTCTTACATGTCTGTCTTTTTATTTTTAATTAAACTTTTGAAAATAAAAAACAAATATTTCGACAAAGTTTTGTGTGTGACTAGATAACCAACAATCATACACTTCTTTTAATATGATTCACACGAAGATAACCATTACTTTTTAGACTCTAAAGAAACTCTTTTTTTTTCCCTCTCTTTCAAAATTTGGTATGTGAGAAATAGTGTCTATTGATGCCGGGTCAATTTACTGAAAAGAAAACAAATTAACAATAAAATATATATATATATTTAACATGAATTTAAATTTAACGATGTTAGTTTAACTTTAAAAGCATATCTTCTTATAATTCAGTCAATGGGTTATGATACATCTGTAAGAAAAAACCTTATTTTAATAAATTTATTTTGGGTGATTTGTTAATATATTTTTTAATCTATTTGTATAGCTTCATAATTAATTTTATTAAATAAACTATTTACTAAACAGTATATATATATATATATATATATTTATATTCCTGAATTAATTCATGACTCTTGGAGTTAAAATTAGTAAATAACAATTATTTTAGTCTTCAATATTATTAAATGACAGTCATTTTAATATTTAAAATGATAATAAAGACAAAAAAATAGACATTTGACAATTTTAGAGTAAAAAGGATATTTTATAATTTTGCGGTGTTAAGTGTAAATAAAATTACCTACGAGTCAAAAGCAAAGATGAACAACAATAATAATTTATAACGCCAAAGGAAAAAAACTAATTTACACGTGCAGTAAATAAGAGAGGAAAAATTTAATAACATAAATAATGTTCATATATTATATAACTAACGTTTATATTATTTAATTTTTCATTTCCTTATTTCATGTTATTTATTTGCACATCATTCTTTTAGGTTTATAGATATCTCCTTTCTTAAATAAATTAATAAAAAGTAACGCACTATCGACAATATATGAAAATATATTTACAAATTGAAAATCCTTAAAGTGACACCGGAAAGGATGTAGGCCAAAAGTTATAAACGATTCAATACTGGAAGTCTGGAACAGGTCTAACATCATTTACACGAAGATATAAATAAAGTACAAATTAATAAAAAATATAACATACATATTAATATTAAAACTATTTAAAACTTCATCTGTGATTATTAAAATAATACCATTTAATTGAATAATTAAACTATCAAAATTTTATTACCTAATAATGTATTAGAGGAAGCCCAACTGAAATTTTACTCACACACGCATAATTATACTGATATTATTATACATATTTTTATATTATTTAATCAATTGTAGGTATATTATTTAAAATATGATATTTATTTATATATTAAAAATAAAATAATAGAATAAAATATTCGTTAATTTTTTAATATATAATTTATAAAAATATTTTAAATATAAATATTATAGAGAGAGAGGTTGTTGTCAGTGGTCTCGTCCTTCGAGACCTCTAAGAGCCAGCAATATATACATTGTCCTTTTCTTTTTATTAAAAAAATTGCATATGCATGGTGTATGGTATAAAGATGGGATGAAAAAATATAAAGTACTACAATAAAATGTATATAAACAACATATTTTTTCTTATATATACAGAGAAAGTGTTTTCATTTATAAAAAATAAAATATATATTTAAATGTATTAAAAATAAAAATAAAAATAACTGAGACACGTTAAAAATTTTTAATCCAAAGAGTAGCGAGGGGGAGGAAAGGAACACTGGGTCTTGACAATGATTTTATTTTATTTTATTAGTATTATGAAAACGAGGGAGAGAGATTTGTGACTTGCAATTTTTTTTACCATTGGGTCTTGATAATTTAAATAATTATATTTATCTCATTATATTAAAAAAGTTGAATGGGTTTAAGTTTAAATAACTCATTGATCTAAAAAGAAATCTTGATTGTGACTCGCATTTTTTTTAATCTATATATATTTTAGTTTAGACTTGTAAAATCTTAGGGAGTTACAAACTTGTTAGACATTTGTTTAAAATATTTCTAATTTTATTTAAGAGTTAGTTTTTGTGAATTTTCAGACTGAAAACATTTTTTATAAACTCTCTGAAGTTTTAATTTATATGTTTAAGTTTCTCATTTAAGATTTTTTTATTAACTTTTTTTTCCCTTCTTTTCGAGATTCCCAATCAAAACTTTTAACAAATTTAAAATACATTTCTCTTATCTAATATTTTATTTGTTACTTAGGTGAGACTTGATATATCACACACTTCAAGCGCACAAGGTTAATTTAGACTTAAAATATTTGGTTGTTTCAAATTTTGAATTCAAAATTATTTGTTTTTGATTTATCTTAAAATGATCTTTTTTATTTGGAAAAAATTGACTTTCTTCTCCATGTCGGCCGTAAATCAGTTACTTATGTATTTTCTACACTTTATTTTATCTCGTAATTGTGTTTAAAACATGAACATAATTTTCCTTCTATTTTCTCAATTTCATGCTCCCTCTGTCATCTTCTACTTACCTGGGGGTAAAAATTAAAGGCATCGGTGAAATCTTGAAGAGTCATCATCACATGCTACCAATAGATCGTTAAAGATTGTATTTGCCCTGTCTCTGATCATTCTTGTTTCTCCAATATATCATCACAGGTTCATATTCTCTTACAAGTCTTTATTTATTTACTTAATTATTTCAAGTTTTTAAAATATCACATGAATTATTTTATAGCATAAAAAAAGAGAATATTATACCAAGGGTAAAAAAGGTGTTAGTGTGTGTTTTCCTTGATATCAGTCCCAATCCGTTTGATTTTCTTTTACTCCTCTTTTCTTGAATATGCTGATTTACCATTCTGGTTTCATAGGATCTTTATTTTTCAAAGATGCCAAAAACTGTTCAAAGATATAAATATTTTGGTTGATACAAATTTGTATTTTAAAACTATTTTATTTTGTATTTATTCCTAAAGATGCATTGGGATCGTTTGATTTTGTCAAAAACCTATTGCCTTTTACTCAACCAAAGAAGTCTACTTATTGGACATTAAGTGGAATATGTATAACAATATTACGGCGCAAGTCAATCTTAGAACAAAAATAGAGACTTTTCTGATTTTAAAAATAGTTTTTAAATAAAATAAAGTTGTTAACATAAATTTTATTTCTATTTTCTTCTTAAAAATAATTTTAAAATGCAATTTTTAAATATTTAAAGCTAAAACAAGAAACAAAGAAGTCCCTAAACACTCTTTTAATGACATACATTTATATTGGAATTACACTGAATCATATGCCATTAGATTTAAACCAGCAACGCCGAAAACCAAGTGCTAAACTAATGCACAATAAATATTAAAAAATTATAATTCTTTCAAGGTATATTGTTTTAAATATTTTTATACGCATAACTTAATATTAAAAAATTACTTGTATATGCATATATAATTAAAAAGGAAAAATTTGAAAAGCTAGATTATTGATCGATTTAGCAGCATGGTTGGGAGAAACTTTTGGAAATGAGAAATTTGTAAGGTTATAAACGGAAACGAAGCGCACTGAGGGAGACAGAATAAAAGCAGGGCTTGATCTCATCCCTGGAATCTATCTGTCCAATTATAAATGTTATCAAAACTCGTTCAATTTTTTGAAACAATAAGAGAAAATGAGGATCTCGTGTTTTTCTTCTTATTGATAATATAATATTAGCTGTTCTCTGTTTGGGACTCTGCTAAATTCCTGCAAAGCCTCAGACACGGGAAAAGTGGCCGCTCCCAAATCTTCTCAATCTAATAAGGCGGCTACAAATTCAATTACCTCTCTCTCTCTCTCTCTCTAATGTCTGTTTCCTTCTCCATTGCCTCCTTGCCCCTCTTCTCTCACCGGTACTTCCTTTTCAGTTACCAATTTTGATGGAAACCCTGATCTTTTATCTTATCACTTCATTATTGTTGTTGTTTTTGGTTTATGATATTTGTGAATTATGTGATGTTTCAGGTTATAGTTGGAAAGGGGGTGTTAGTGGCAATGGGGGAGGAACCTAGCCAGCTGAAGCGGGCTTTGATTGATTCCTCTGCTGGTGCTATTTCCGGCGCTATATCAAGGACAGTTACGTCACCCCTCGACGTTATTAAGATTAGGTTTCAGGTTTGTGTTTTTTCATCTCCTTCTACCTTTTTTTTTTTTTGTAACTTTTTGTGTCCTCTCCCACCCGATCGTGTTTTCCTTCTATCAATTTCTTTCTACGGAGATTTATCCTACTTTGCAAAATACTCATTCTTTTTATCTGTAATATTTTCTGCTTTTTGACAAAGGGCCTATTATTATAGATTCAATAATAATAATAATAATAATAATTCATTTTTGGTGATTGATCGGTCGTTAGTTCACTTTATTTATAAGGTGTTTCTCCGTTATTGACATAATTTTACTTGGGATTTGTGTTTAGTTTTTTATGTTCTTATGTTTTGCATGAGATTTTGGGTACCCAAGTTCATGGCTTTTCATTGTTGGCTTCGTTATTATCAAGGTGAGAGGTGAGGTGAAATAAACTGTTGTTTACATTCATTGATAGGTTCAACTAGAGCCCACGTCTTCATGGACTTTACTACGCAAGGACTTGTCTACACCCTCAAAATATACAGGCATGCTTCAAGCAAGCAAAGATATATTGAGAGAAGAAGGAATACAGGTAGAATAAGTGAATAACTCAGCCTTTATAATATTTTTATTTTTCCATCCTACTTTACTTCCTTCTATTAGTAATTTGCCTATGTTTCTAATATAGACTTGAGAAGGTACTAATTGGCTGTTGGTAAAATTAGTATATGTGATAGTGTGCTTGAATTCTTAAAAACACCTTGCAGAAGTTTCCTGGAGAAAATGCTGTATTACCCTTTTTAATCTGATATATTGTAGGGCTTTTGGCGGGGTAATGTGCCAGCGTTGCTCATGGTTATGCCATATACAGCTATACAATTTACTGTTTTACACAAGTTGAAGTCTTTTGCCTCTGGTTCTTCCAAGACAGGTATTTTGCATATCAATTGTTATTCATTGACCTAACATATTAGCTTGATGAGCAAATTGAATTTATGATTTATCTCCTAGGTGTCTGTCTACTAAGCTTGTTTGTTGAGAATTAGGTTGGGTTTTTTTTATCACTTATCAGTTAAAATGTTTAAAACTTCAAATATGTAGGTCCAAACTCATTACATGATAGTTCTGAATTTCAATTTTATTTTACTAATTGATTTTGTACAGTTTTCTAATATATTTTAATAAGGTGCTTTAGGAAAGGATGCTGTCTGTAGTTAAATGATGTGTACACTGTTTATATGCCAGATCAGAACCTGTGTCCATGTGCACTTTAGAGATATTAATTACTTAAGCATTCCTGTTCCAGGTTTAATTTTTCATTCTTTACTTTTTGTTGCTGCAGAGAATCACATTAATTTGAGCCCATATCTATCCTATATGAGTGGGGCATTGGCTGGGTGTGCAGCTACTGTAGGGTCATATCCCTTTGATCTTCTCCGAACCATATTAGCTTCTCAGGGTGAACCGAAGGTATAAGCAATATAAAATATGGCCAATGTTACTAGACAGCTTTGAAGTAAATTGCTGTAATGTATACTAATGTTAGGAAGTTAGTGAAGGAAATTGTTGGAATGTTTTTTAAACACACTCCTCCTGTCCCATATATTTTTGCCTTTTTTCTCAGTCCTTTGTGCATGAAAGATTTTGTTGATGTTGTGCTTTTTTGTTCATTCTTGTTAGAGATGTTAGATATAAAACCATCCACCTGCGTGTTTCGACTTGATAGCTTTGTGTAGTTACTTCATGACATGGTATGAGAATCACTATGACCAAGTGGTCTGGAATTTAATCCTTGCCTACCCCATTCTTCTAAAAAAGAAGAAAGTTTCATTCAAATACAAGATTGGTGGGTCCCTGCATGTCCCTGCTGCAAGCCCAAAGGACACTTGTATAAGGGAGAGAGATTTTTGTATAGTTGCTTCTTGACAATTCCTTTTTACTAATTTTTGGGTGGGGGTGCTCACCTTTGCTTCCTTTATGCCTAGTTAATGGCATTTCACATAAATTTCAGATCATATCATGAGGGGAACACACAGAATGATTGAAATTTGTCAGATCATCATGTCATGTATGGCTTTAATGGTCTAGAAACCATGTTAAACCCTAAAATTTGCTGATCAAATGTCTATAGGGGCATCACAGCAGGGCTGTTAGTTGCAATGGCATTAATGAGGTACAATAATTGGTTGTTCTATTTTAGATCTTAATAGCTGATATGGTTGTATAGAATATAGATTATGACCCTAGCCTCAAGTTCAGTGTAAGACTTCAGAAAAATGTTCTTTTTTTTATTTTTGTTTCACTCTGCGAAGAGTTGTGGGGGAAAAGCACCCTCTGCTGGCTCTTGACAATATAACTTTAACATTGTGTGCATTGTTTGAAGCTGCTGTGCTTCTTGAGTTAATTTTGTAACTATTCTATGCCTAATATTTTCCCATCATTTAGATTTATCCAAACATGAGGACAGCATTAGTTGATATTCTCCAAGCTCGTGGCTTCCAAGGCTTGTATGCTGGATTGTCACCAACACTAGTTGAGATCATACCATATGCAGGCTTACAATTTGGCACCTATGATACTTTTAAACGTTGGACCATGGTAAAATTTCAGTCCTATTTAGCTTGTATATTTTTGGTTGACATAATTATTCCCTACATGTATTGGATATCATTTGGTTGTGAAACCATTGTAAGGTGAACTTGTTGGTCTTATTATATTGTGCATTACATTTACCAGTTATTTTAGCATACTATGCCTTGTTTTGTGCCCTTGTTTTGCAATTTTCATTGAGTGAACTGGTTATAGAAGACACTTTTTCTCTTGGCTGAAATTTGTTGAGGTTCATGAAATAACGTAAGACTTGTCTTGTAAGGAGTGGGACCTGCATGTTATTGTGAGTTTTAGTAAATTTTAACCGATGTGTTAAAGTGTGTTGCTAATATGTTTCCATAGAATAATTAAAATGACACAAGATGCATCAATAAGTTTTTCATGCTCTTCTGTTGTGATGTGTTCTTGTTATGAGAGTTACTGTGTCTCACTTTTTCAACATGTTTAAGTCTCAATGTCACTTTTTAATTTTTATCCTCCCTGTTACATAATTTGCCATTGTGGATTTCTAGACAAACATTTATCAACTTCTATATGTGCCAGTCACTATTTTTGCACTAGTCTGCGCTGACAGCAGAGGCAATACAGCACTTTGTATTAAATGTAAATTTGAGTGAGCGATCAACCCTAATCATGCCTCAATACCTAGATAGTCTTAGGTCTGTTTTTCAGCTAGATTAAATATAATTTGAAAGTAGCCAAAGAGAAAAGGATTCATGGAAGTATCTCAGTGCAAATTTGATTCATTGAAGTTGCAATATAATATAAAGATGTATAGTTGGACTCGTTCACAGAGCTGACAAATTCTTTACTTTAATGATAGTGAGCAATTCTCTGATATCCAAATATTATGCGGGATAATTGTAGGTGTGGAACCAACGTAAATATTCAAATACTACTGCAGAAGTTAGTCCCTCTAGTTTTCAGCTTTTCCTGTGTGGGTTGGCAGCAGGAACATGTGCCAAGCTCGTTTGTCATCCTCTTGATGTCGTCAAGAAAAGATTTCAGGTAGATTTTACAATAATTCTGAACCCTCCCCCCACCCCTACAACAGAAAAAAAAAAAAAAAATCCTCCAAAACCAAGTGAATTTGTCCATGTTTCATGCTGATTAATGGTGTCCTTATCATTCTTTGTTTGCTGTAGATTGAAGGTCTACAAAGACATCCAAGATATGGAGCTCGGGTTGAACATCGTGCATACAGCAATATGTTTGACGCCATGAAACGAATATTACAAATGGAGGGTTGGGCTGGTCTATATAAGGGTATAATCCCATCAACTGTAAAAGCTGCACCAGCTGGCGCTGCAACTTTTGTTGCATATGAATTGACATCAGAGTGGCTGGAATCTATTTTGACTTGATTTTTTTCACTTCATAGAAGGGAAGTGATGGAGAGATTTACATTTTTTTATTTTATTATTTTTTACTTAATTCCCTAAGGATAGGAAACACGAGGTATATGATGATTTATTTCAATGATAGCAGTAGTGGATAAGATAATCCTCTTTTAAGATGGACTATAAGATAAAAGCTAATTCTAGCATAGTAACATCTATTTTACTTTTATTGAATGGTGAACATCAGCAGTTGGAGGGGGTTATTCTTGTTAACGTGATTTTAAATTCCAAATTTATCCTAAATGGTCAAAAAACCTTTTTTTTGTTTGCACTTTATCTTGGACGTTTTCTGGGCTTTAGAATTCAGCTTCCGCTGGAACTTGCAAGGCAAGAGTTAAACATGATCAGTAATCGTGTTTTCTGCTTCAGAGTCTATCAAATGAAATTGGTCACTGATGGCGTCAAGACTTGCTTTGTGCTTTTAGCTTGCAAATGCTGTAGGCATTCATCATGATTTGGGTAAAAAAATGGTATCGATCTGTCAGTAGGACAGAAACATACAAGGTTCTAGCCTCATTTGCATTTACTTGTTTTGCTGCTGTGATAATGAACACAGAAGGTTCTTTCATTGGCTGTTGCAAAAAAATCCAGATTAACCTTCCTCATTGGTCAGGAAATAGGTGATTGAATAAAATGAATTTATTTAACGTAATTGTTCCACACAAAACTTGAGCTCAACCAGGTACGTTGAGCACACGAATCGCCTGTTGGGAACAAGTCTAACCGTCCGCAAATTTTAAAGAAATTACAGACTACAAACCCACGCGTAACTTGCAAAGCCAAAACCAGTTTGCTCCTATTTTAATAGATGTAGAGGCTTGAATGAAGATTGTTGTGTAGCACTTTAAAAAGAGCAAAAGCTCAACTGTTGGGTTACAAAGCCCTTATTGCAACTCTCTCCAAAGTTAGTTTCCGTGAGAGTGACAAATTCAACTGTTGATATCGCTATGTCCTAACAAAATCCAGCCGCACAAGCACTTCGTAATACAGTCAATTACAAGTAAATAAAGACCTGAGGTCATGGCCTTTGGCATACAACTTTCGGTTGACCTACCATTCTTAATAGGCAAGACTTCGTCCACCCCTCAAATCCATTTAGAAAAAGGCCTTTTGTCAGCAGGAACAAGTTTGCAATGCTGGTAAAGCTATTTATCTTGATGCTTCGTTCTTATCTTTATTGCTTCCTTCTGGAGGTTGCGATAAGAAATGCAAGATTCTCTGAATCTGAACAACGTCGACCTGAAACTTTTCAGCAATTTGGTGAGCATCCATAGGCCCATCGTGATCATCAGCCTTGCCTTCATGCAAGAGCATGATACGGCGCAACTGTGCTACATTCAAAGTGCCAGCAGGAACTGGCCTTTCCTCATAATGACCAGAATCTGGCTTTGTGTTTCGTAATTTTGGCATAGGCCTATTATACTTCTCAACCAAGAAGGCCTGTAACAATATTGTCTGACTGTAAGATGAGTTTGTCTGATGTAAAACATGCACTACAGCTTAAAAGCAAAACTTTGACCATTGAATCAGCATTAGTCATTTGTAACTGGTTATTTTTGAGAATTAATTTTTTAAAAGCTCTCTTGGGAATCTGAAAAAAGTGATCTCAAAAATAAGCTAATCAAAGCACATGCTGCGTATAGTGTAAATCATAGCATCAACCAAACAGTCAGGAAATAGATGGCAGAAATCATAAAGCTAGAATTGATTGATGATGAACAGTGGTAAGATTTGTGAAGGCATATTACTATATTTTAAGCAAAATATCAACGCATAACATAACAGTCAAAGATATTATTATTTTGGCAGATTTCCTTTCATCTGATAGGACTCTAGGAGATTATCAACTCAATTCGCAAAAACAGTATTTCCTAGATCTTCAATGCCGAAATACCATTTTTTCTGCCAGCATATAGAGATCAATGTTTCATAGTAGTCAACATTCAATAATACAGTTTCATTAGAAAAGGGTGAAGAGTAATACAACATCAAATTGTGGTTCTATGATGTAAACATTGAAATGGATAAGGATACATTACACACAACATAATGACATATCTGCATTAGCTTTACATAAGGGGTAAAAACAACTGACATAAACTCACCTCTCCCATCTCAGGTTTTCCCCCAGGCTTTGATGTAATTCTACCAACCATTTTACCAAGCATAGCGTCATAATTGGGATCTCTGTCTTCCAGGATGTTGTCCATGTTAACTCTAGGACGATCATCTTAAGCCAAGAACAAATAACAGTGTAATCAACCACAATGAACTATATAGTAGTAGCATTATAAAACCTCACAAAACACCAAAACTATAAGCGATACATATGCATGCATTTTACAAAAATATACAGATTAACATGACGAGAAGCCTCACACACACACATAGATATATAAAATAACAGCCACAGCTAGTAAAATCACAAAATCTAATGGTATGTTTGGCAGGCAAGATGGAAAATACGGAATGAAAATGAATGGGATAAAAGACTTTAGGCATTGTTTGGGATGAGAAAATATTTCTTGTTTTCACTTTCTTGTTTTACTAGTAATTAATAAATAGTAGAAACAATGAAAGTTGTTTTCACTATTTCATTTACAGATCTTCAAAAAAACATGAAAAAAGGTAGCCTTTCTATAATTAAAAAAAGAAAATGACAACAAAAAACATTTTCAGAATCCAAAGAGTCCATAAGACGTTCCCTGGTTATCACTAGATAGGGTGGAAATGAATGATCACTTGAAAATTGACTTTTAGCTCAATTTCTTACCATTAAAGAGGGGCTAAAACTACTGAAACTGTGTTTCACTCCACTTATTGTTGGATATTTTATGTATGTGAACTGGTATAAATAATTTTTTTCATAGGTTTAATTTAATTCTAGATTAATTAGATGTCAAAATATTGAACCATGTTGTTTAGCTCATATTCTAATTAATTATTGTTATTGGGATTATTTGTGATAACTTTATTATTAGTAAATATGATTTTATAGTTATTATTATTAGGTTGTGCCATAATGAGTAGGTTTGACTCATCCTGTTATTAATCCGAAAGACTCCTGCTCCTAGCCACTTCGGGAGTAACTGTTGTCCCGTGACAATGTATGTAAATCAGGATGGTAGGAGGAGCTCTCTCACTATTTTTAGTTTTCTCGTTTTGATAAAGGAAGCACTCAGTGTGGGACTCATCAATTTCCATGTTCATAAACTCATCAATCTCTATTATTCCAGGTAATTCTAACATTTATTTATCATTTGTCATGTTGAGAATCAAATTACCCCCATTTTCAGGTGAAGTAAGCACGCACAACCAATCCCTATTGGGTGCAAAAACATCAAATCCAAATCCAGAACTTCAAACTAAACAGCATATAAACACCTCCCTCCGCCCCACATCTTTCAGGCTTACTTCCGAATTCCCGAATATATCAAAACCAGTCTAGAGATAACCATTAATAGATACCTTGATTATTGAGGTTCCCACTGATATTTTCAGTTTTCACTGGAGGAAATTACGTTAAAGGAACAAAATTTTTCACAATCACATAACCCTAATTTCCCAACATAGAGAGAGAGTTACCCGCGTCAATAAAGACTTGCTCGGCAACTTTCGGTTTTTCCGAGGCCTTGGACTCTGGCCGGCGATCAACTGTGGTCTTTGGTTTGTACAAGGATGATGGGTCAGCCTCGGAAGCTGCACGGATTCTCCCAGATGCACGACGAAATGCCTGACCCATGATTGTGGTGTGAGTGTGATGCCAAATGCAGTATTGTGGTTCTCTTTACCCACTGAGATTGGTTAGTTAATGATAATTAGTGTAAGCTCCATTTTGAAAAGAGAAAAGTTTGCATTGCAAAGCCCTGTGGCTGGTTGGTGTTGAGGTTTAAGAAAGAAGGTTCCCGGGAGAGAGGAATATGACAAAATGGCGTGGCTAGACACACACCAAAGGTACCAAAATTTATCCCACATGGATTGTTATGAATTTTCACTTTTTTATATTTAAATGTAAATTTTAAAATAAAAATTATTCAGCTAAAGTAAAATAGTATCAGTAAAGTTAGTTTTCAATTAATTTTAAATTAGCTTTTATCTTAATTTTAAACATAAAAAAATTAATTATAAAATAAATTATTTATTTCTGATAAATTTTATAAATTATATATTATTATTAACTAATTATCTACTATTATAATTTAATAATTATTACCCTTGTAAACTTCACCATATTATTGTTATTGTTATAATATTTATAATTATCACTATTATTAATATTAATTAATATATTTTTTAAATATAAATTCAATTATTAATTAAAATTTATTAAAAAAAATAAAAATCATGTGAATTTTATTATTAATTTAATATTTTTTTATACATTTATAATTTATAATTTTATGTTATTATCATCATTATTCTTGTTATTATTTAAATTATCATTTTCATTGCATGTTTAATAATTTATTATTGTTATATTTTTTTATTATTATCAATACTTCACTGCTAATTAAACTTAAAATTTGAGTATAAAGTAATTTTTGTAATTTAAATTTTAAATTTAATATTCATATTTAAAAATTATGCTTATAATGATGAAATTAAATTAATTTATTTTCTTCAAATTACAAAACTTAAACTAGTGGAAAAAAAAAAACGATAGGCAGGAAGATATGCCAAAATTTGTCTTTATATATTTAGAAATACATATTCTTATTATGTTAGTGATTTTATTATGGTGGCCCTAAAATTTTTTTGAAATTTTTTTTTTTTAATGTTTATTGACAGTTGATGAGTTTTATTAAATTCTAAATAATATTATAAAAATTAATATAATCTTTTGACTAAAATGAGAAATTAAAAACTAAAAATATGTTTGTTTTCTTTTTTAAAAAATGGTTTTCTATTTTTAAAAAATAAAAGATATCAAAATTTTATATTATATTTTTTAAAAATAAAAAAATTATTTTTAAAAAGTAAAATAAATATTGTCTAAGTATAAAAAAATATTTTCATTAAATCTTTCTGTTAAACATTAATTTTTAAACAAAAAATAATTGTCGAAAAGTTAAAATTAATTTAAAGTAAATAAATTTTTGCACTTGTACATTATGTGTGCAATGTATAATATAACTTATAATACAAAAATATAAATATTTTTTACAATAATTAATAATTATAACATTTTTATTAATTTATAATTTTTTATAACATGAGATATTAAATGAATAATTTAAAATTATATGTAAAAGAGTAAAAGATATTGTAATTTATAAAAAAAATGGAAAGTAATAATTAATAATATTATATGAATATATTTTTTATTTAAAATTAATATATAATAAAAAAATTATTTAGTAAAACATAAAATTTCTATAATTGATATTTATTTAAAAACTTAAAAAAACGACTAAAAACGTTGAAGCATATAATAAAGAGGAAATTAAATTTTAAAGATAATAATACGAACTATAGGTAACTTGTCTTACTATTAAAATTAATATTGTTAAAATGAAACTTAAACTATCATGTTATAAAGTGTTTATTGTTGGGTCTAACCAGTACAATTATCATTTTCATGTCTTCCAATTATTCAAACAGGAGTTTTGGAATAAAAAAAACTAAGTATATGTTGGAAATTAGAATTTTTGCACTATTCATATTAAAAACTTCAGTTTATTCAAATATTATGTAATACAAATGTCAACATTTTAATGCTAAAAATAATATAGTTTACGTAACATATAAATGCATTTTAAATTTATTTTTATTCATAATAAAATATAAACAATAATTATGTTTTCTAAAAAATAAGTTATAATATAAATTATTATGTAAACATTTAAAAATAAATAAATTTATATGAATAAACATTTAGTTTATTTTCATTAATTTTAAACATTTATTATTTTAATTTTTTACTTATAATATTGTTATTTTAGTTCATAAATTTATAAAATAATATTCATTGTGATAATTATAAATAAAAAATTAAAAATAAGGTAAAAAATTTAAATAAATGACCTTTTGGAAAATAAATTACTAAAATAACATTTTTGTAAAAGAAATTCAAATCTCACCCAAAGCATCTCAAGAGCCTACGTGGTTGGCTACACCCCTCACCCATAATTGATTTACTAGCAGTACATGAAACACCTTATGATCTTTTGTTAAAACAAAATAAATTTTTTTTAAGTTAATAATGTAATATTCATGTTAATCATTCTAAAAAAATATTTTTAAAATAAAAAAATATATAAAAAAAATACCTATAACTATTAAAGGGTTTTCACTTAAACACTGTCATTTAAAATAAAAATTTACACCAGCCAACTTAACTACGGATACAAGAATAATAGATAACTCTAAAGCAAATATAACTTCATATTTCAAGGATTAATTCTTCACTAAAAGTTTAAATTATACAGAACATCTTACATACAGTATTTAGTTTTATTAAAAAAAATTCACAAATACTAAAGGTCCCTAATTAAACAATATGTATATATATGGTATAGAAACTTTTTTGAGAAGACACCACTTCACAAAAATACTTATACACTCAAATTATAAAAAATTTAAGATAAAATAATAAAGTAATATGCAATTTTAAATTTTATTAAATTTTTATTACAATAAATTTAAAATATTGCTTGTTATTTTAAAGATATGGAATTTATTATGTATAATTTTTTTATATTTTTAAAATAATAAAATTTTGTATAATAAAATAAAATGAAAGAAAGTTAAAGTAATTTAAAACAAATAAATATTTGTGTTTGTGCGATACATGTGCAATATACATAACTTATATATTTTTACTTGGGAGTAAGTTACACTTTTAAATAAGTAAAAAATAAATATATTAATAAATTTTGAGAAATGTTAATCAAATTTTTTACACTAAGAACATTGGTTAAGAAACTATAAAATATATGATAAGACAATTTCAAAATTCAATAAATTTTATAAACTTTTAAAAAAACAGTTCTTATAATTATAAATAATAGATATTTTATTACATTAAATAAAAATAAAAATATTTTAATTCAAGAATTATAAAAATTTCAAATTAATATCAAATTGAAAAATAAATGCTTAATATAGAAAAAAAATCTTTTGGTATAATTAAAAAGATAACTAACTTTCCAGAGTACTTCTGTGCAGAAAAATTTCTAATTATTTTTTGCTTTAAATAACTCTTAAATTATATATAAATATTAATTTACACACACTCATAAAAGTAGGTCAAGATAATATAATACTACGTGAGAGATAATAAATAAATTCATGAAGTATACTTAATTTTAAAGTTTTATAAAATATAAAATATTTTATCATAAGAAGTCAATAAATGTATGACTGAAATAAATGGGTTGAGAATTGATATACGTCAGTTTTATTTTTATATGGTATGTTATCTTTAAAAGTCAACAGATGTATAGGTGAAATAAATGAGTCAACAATGAATATATATTATATTCATTTTTTTAAAATGATCATTGAATGTAACTTACTCAATTTTATTTTTTTTTATACCTGGTAAAGTGCTTCTCTATTTTAATAACCTAGTAAATTACATTGATGAAAAACATTGTGCTTTAAATGTTCGAGATGTTTTTAAAAATTAATCACAAATATGGTATCAAATGTTTTCAAAATATTCTCAATGAATGTATTAAGACTATAATCATCAAATTAGTTGGGTTCAATGCATTCATTGGATGAAGTAACTTTGGGAGTAAATAGGAACTTGAGATTGTTTATTAGCATTAAATATTATAGATTTTGTACTGAAAAAAGGAGTTAGAAAATTTTTCTTTTAAGTTCTTAATGCTAGAGAATTATGTTTCTAAGCAAAATTGTATGGTATTAAAAGCAGGTGAGGAGTTATTGTTTCTATTATTGAAGAAGTGTAGCAAAGAAACTCGCAAACCACATGCTCCAAGGTTTGTAACCTTTAGAATATAAGTAGTGAGAGCACTTATAATAACCCTCATGAGTCATATATCTCATTCTGTCCTCTTCATTAAACCATCAAATATTAGCAAAGATAACTAACAATGCATGGTTAAATTAAAGCAAAACAGCATAGGAAACGCGAGTGCTAAAAATACAATGGACAAAGAAATATAATTTTCAACTATATTTTTTATTTTTATGATAATAATAATAATAATAAAAATAAGAAAAAAACAGCAGTAATCATATGAAATGGGAGGGGGATTATTAAAGTCTCAGAATCCTTAATTGAGATTGGAGAATGACACTGCTACTAGGAAATGAAAACAAAATATAAAACTCCTACCCCATAAGCAAGGAAGATTAATTGCACCTTCTCTTGCACTGATTGTATATTACTAAAGCTTTCCTTAGAAGCTTGTATCTATCATCAAGTATATATGATATACCACTATAATGACTATAAAGGCTGCTATCTTCTTCATTTCATGTGATCTCAAGTTATTGAAAACAAGTCATCAACATTCTCAGGGCTTAGGCAGAAAGAAGTATCATCCTCATGCTTAGTCCTTCCAGGAACTTGAAAACTTGGCCTCTCACTATCCTTCACTAGACTTGAAACCTGTACAAATCAATTACCATTGTTATCACTGCCACTGCCGCCACCTGCATCATTTGCTCTTTCCACATTTCCGAAATTTGCCTCATCTTTACCAGAAGTCTCTCCATCCAGTTTAGGACGCGTGCATCGGAGAGGTTTCAAGGCCTCCCTTACCTTCCGCTTCTCCTTTTTCTCTAGATGATCTTCTGAGGCTATAGATTCCAGCCACCTTAGTGTTGGTGTTGGGGTTCTTGTGCTCTTCCTCCTAGTGTTCACGTCAGGCTGAGGCTCAGGTTGATTCAAATCTTCAGAGATTGTTTCAACACTAGAATCATCTGATTCATTTTCTGCATTGTTTTGCTGCCTCTCAGCCACTTCATTTACACAAGGTTCATCATTTTCATCTTCCATTGAAACAGGTATGTTAAGGTCAATCATGAGCCTTGGCTTGGGTATCACATATTGATCTTTAATACCAGAAGAGCTATTAGAAAGAACCACTTCTCTGCTGGGAATTGAAGGAGAATTTGCTAATGTCTTGTTCTCATCGGGTGGAAGAAGAGCTCGCAATTTTTTCTCCTCAGTTGGAGGTTGCTGAGGAACAGCATTCTCACTGGATTTTGGAGTCAAAAGGCTGTAATTGGCTTTCTCTTGGTTCACTCTGGGAGGCACAAAGTTGCTAGCAGCCGCATTCTCAATTGGTTTTGAATTGTCAGCACTGAGACTTGCCACCTCTTGTCTCTCTTCTGGAACAATGAAGAGTTTAGCATTGTAGAAATTCCCCTCTGCACGACAAGGGGTGTTTGATTTCCTCCTTCTTTTAGTAAGAGGAGGAACTACAGCATTTTTGCCATCAGGTGCCACATTCTGTAATGGTTGGAGCTTCATAGCATCTCTTCTCTGAATGTTACTCAACATGTCTGTCTTCTGGGCCTTGGAGACAGGAGATGGATTAGTAGAACTAGAAATAATGCCTCTTATTGAAAACACGTCCTTTGAAGGATTATTTTCTGTAACATTGATGTAAGAATGGTCTTCCTCATCAACGGGGAATTCGATGGGGACTTTAGCCTTACCCTTACCCAAGCACAATCGATCAGCAAAGCCAGATTCCTTTGCTTTGTCCTTTGAATTATTCTCTTTGTGAGAACCATCTTCAAAAGTAGAAGCCTTCAATACTCTCTCTGGCAACCTTCTCAGTTCTCTCACCCTTTCACTACCCAAACTTGTGTCCACAACAGTGAACTCCTTCAGACCTGTATTGAAATCTGGAGCTTGCAGCTTGAGATGGCCATGGCACTGCTGAGCCGGGGAACATTCTTGGTTCAAATTTGCTTCTTCTGTACTCACATTTCCTTCCTTGCTTGTGTTGCCATTATTTGCTACTGTCTCAATCTCAATTAGCTCAGGAAATGAAACCACTTTGTGCAGGACATCACTAATAGAATCAAAATAGTGATAGCCCTTCACTAGTTTCCTTGAAAAATTTTGAACTTCAGGGACAAAGAAGAGTAGAGGCAGCTTATTAGAAACAGCATAAGTATTACGACTACCTGGCTGCTCAGAATGCCAACCTTTTGCAAGCAAACGAGGCCAAACAGCTTCCCAGAAGAGATCATGAGATCGAGCTTTACTCACTCTGAAATTGCCTGTTAGAAATTTTATTATTTCAGCAGGTGTAAGCTTGGCATAATTCTTGCCATCAGAGCGACTTGGATGTGCATGAGTGGACTTCACAGAATCAGCAGGGAAACCTGTAAGATCTTTTTCAGTACCAACTCCAACTGCCTCAACAAGAGCATCGAGCCCAACTTCAGCCTTCAAAGTTAAAACATAATCTTCTAGAGAGATTTTCCCCTCCACAAATGTCATGGACACCTGCCATGCAAATGAGGTTCAAAGAGCAAAAACTTATCAGGATTTATAATGATGCAGCAAATTTTCAAGTTAAAAAATGGTGACACGATGAACATTTCAATTAGCTTGACAATGCATGTTAATCAAACACATATTGAAGGAAATGAAAATGGTTATAAAACAAGATTTACATTTAGTAACCACTTTGCACTACATTAACAGTCAACATCAAGAAATTCCTAAGTGGATATTATTTGACACATGATTCAATACATCAAACATGTACCAACAAAATATTGGTTGACTACATTATAGATTTTTGCAACGTGCAAAACTTAGGATATTTGTATTAATGCAGTGATGCAAAGATATTGAGGCGTGAATAATGCGACCTAAGTAAGATAACACGTGTCGGCTTGCATGGATTTAAGAGGGCATAAACTTAAGAGTTTAAATAATTACCTTCAGTAGTTTTCGCGCGCATTCCTCTGACACGTTGGGTAGCAAACGAGATAAAAGCTCCTGTTGTCTTGGTCCTGCGAAAATTTTTTGCCCATAAATGCACTTTTTACTTCTCATTTTCTTCTTACATTCATGCCATCGAAGATATCTCCCAGACTTATAAAATTTCCCATAGTAAAATGCCATTATATCCCCCATTGTTTTATTGCCAATGAATGTTTTCAGTTTATCAAAGACCTTCCCAAATATATACAAACCAAGAGTAAAACTGGCCTCTTCTTTTTCAGTCCAAGTGTCACTTGAAGAACCGGGAGCTAGATAGTACCGTTTCCGTTTATTTTCCTCATGCACCTCAGCGTTTGCTTCTTGTGGAACGTTGGAATTTTCCAATGCTCCCAAATGCGTTTCATTGACCGACGTACTTCCACCGACAACATCATTTGACGTGCATGCATGTTGAAGTTGATCATGCTGATTATCCTCTTTTTCATCTTTGGTCCAAAACAGAGGAATTGGTAAGCCGATTCGCCCTTCATTGGAGGTGCAGCTTCTTGCATCATGTGAGTTGTTTTGAGACCAACAATAGTCAGACTTAGACATTAAAGATGGAAGTTCAGCCTGGTACTCCTCACCCACCCTAGGTGTTGTTTTGGGATCACCACCACAACTATTAAAACAACAACGTTGTTCTCTTGAGCCACTAACATGAACTGCGTCCACCTGTCAAATAACATAAATAAATTTAAGAATAAAAAACATGTAAATATCACATCTTATTTATAAAAAAATCTATATCACCAAATACATGCTAGTAAGCTAAACAAAGCCCCAGGACTCTAATGGTACAGAGATATCTATGGTCATATATGCATGAAAATAAACCGTCATGTCAATGAGAATTATACCAATGAACAATTTCACTAGTGAACTTAAAATACACACAAAGCTAACGTAGAAATTGACGTGTAAATGAGATTTAAATCTCACTAAAAACATCTCAAGAAGCAGGGTAAATGCCCACATCTGACCCAGGATTAGTCCTTCACTAAAAGTAAGTGGGGACGCCTTATAATCTTTTGAAAAAACAGACACAAAAGCTGTTAGGATAACAGTGCTGTGTCCATAGATTACATTTCTAATTTTGATTATCTCAACAGAATAGAATAATTTTAAATTTTAAAATTATAAAATTTTCATTAAACAAAAAATCTAATCAATTTCAAATAAATCAAAATTATTATTTTCGCTTCATAAAAGAAAAAAATTCCGGATACTAACAGGTCCCCAATTAAACAATATCATTCAAAAATATAAATTAAAAATAACTTTTCCAAATTTGCGCCGCCAACTCGACTCACACACACAGAAAAATAATATATGTATATAAAATCATAAATTCAAGTTGAAATATTTCTGAGAGATAAAGAACAAGGAACACCCGAGTGCAAACTCAGAACGAAACAAGAATCAGATCCACTTTCTGACCCAAAAACCCAAATAGGAGCAACACGGCATCCAAAGTCGAAGACTTTTAACACCAATGCATGACAAGCCATTAAACACAACATCACTCAGAGTCCAGAACCAACACGATCTTTACGAAAACCACCAACACTCAGAACCCGAAACCAGGCTCAAGCAACAACCAAGAGAATAAAAAAAATAAAAAAATAAAAATAGATATCGTGACGACAAGAAACAAAACCACAAGAAACAGACAAGCACAGGCACCCAGTTTTCCCAGTTAGATAAAAATAAATAAATAAAAATCCAACGTGATCCCAGAAAATTCAAGTCATTGACGCGAAAACCAACTGCGAAAACACGAACACAAGTACATTAAAATCGGACGCCAGCAAACAAAGCAAAACGGCAGGCCACATAACCGAAGGAAAAAGAAAAAAAAATAAACAAAAGAAGATTCTGAGTGTTACCTCCATTGAAGAAGAAGAAGAAGGAGAGAGAGAGCCTTGAAGCACGTGAAGAAGCTAGCCTGTGAAAAAGGGTGTTCATGGTTACACACCGATTGACGAGTTAGCGGATTAAAAACAAAAAAAACGTGAAGAAGTAGAGTCTTTGAGACACACACATATGTATAACACAAGCCGAGTGCATAGACAACAAACTAAATGTTATATAAAGAGAGAGGAAGAGAGGAAAAGAGAAAGAGAGAGTTGTACCTGCGTCGAGGAAGCTAAGGTTTCATGGGCAGGATGGCTGAATTGGAGGGGAGACTGTGATGTAGTGAGAGAGAAAGTGAGAGAGAGAGAGAGAGAGAGAGAGAGAGAGAGATGGGGTGTAGTGGGTAGAAAGGAAGAAAACATATATAATACATAAAAAAATAATATTAAATTATTTGTTTATATTCTTAAAATGGGATATAAAATGGATGGGAAAATAAAGAAAAGAAGAAAAAAAAATGATAGATGATGTGGTAAAAAAATTATATTTTATATTTGTTTTTTTACATTTTTTCATTGCATTTTCTTATTTTCTTTCTCTTTTGTCTCTTTTCTTTTTATTTTATTCATTTTACAATTAAAAATTAATATAAAATTATATTTTTATAGAAAAGAAAGAGAGAAATAAAAATATGGATTTAAAAATATAAATATTCAGTATTAATAAGAATAATAAGTACAAGTTTAGAGAGAGAGAGAGTATTTTTTGAGAGATAGATGGGGTCTGGTCCGTTTTCAGGGTCAGGGGGACTCATGTATCACGCGCAGTTACTCAGCGCGTAAAGGTTACTTTTATGTGGACTGTTTCTATAGATTTTCATCCTGTTTTATTATATGCATAGAAAATAATTTTCCATGATTAGCAACAAAGGTTAACTTACCCTGGTTAATGATCCATTAAACTTTTGCCCCCAAGTTATATCCAATTTGAGTTGTGAAATTTTTTGTATTTTTGTATTTTAATTTATTAATAATATTTAGATATGTTACTCTTTTGTGAAGTTTAATTAAAAACTACTTACTGATATAAATTTTTATTATATTTTATAAAATGTATTATCGACAGTTTTTCAAGATTATATTAAATTAAGTTTTCAAAGTATATCTGTGGACATGAGTTTATTTTGAATTAAAAAAAAATCAATTTTATAAAGTATTCATTGTTAAGCCTAAAATGGGCGACTTTATTTTTATAACCTTCATTGGCATTACAGTGACTAGGGATACTATTATAATGTTAATTTTCTATCCACCAAAAGCTTAAACTTAATTGAGGTAATAGATTAAAAATTAAGCTGTGTTTTTAATTTTCATTAAAAATGAAATTGTAAAAGCTAAAAATTTATTATACTTTTTTTTATTCTTGTATATTTTTATTAAATGTCTTCTTAAAAACAAAGTATTAACCATGTTTAAACCTCGTGTCTAGAACAATCAATAATAATATGGTGATCAGATTTAAGCAGTGTAAAAAAAAAATTCAATCACACTTTAACGATACTATTTTGATTAATCTCACCTTAAGAAAAAATTGAATAGATAATCCATAAATGGACTTTACTTAATGCTTAATTATTAAATGTCTTCTTAAAAATAAATTTAAAAGGGGTACGTAATATTGCAAAAGATTAAAATTTTAAATATAGAAAATGAATTATTAATTTTTAATATATCTAATGGATATGTATGTGTGCGTAACTAATACAATAAATTATATATATTTTTATTATAAAAATATATATCTTATTTATTACAAGGAATTCACATGATTTTCGCACCAGCTACAAAAGAAACGGACCAATCTAATAAATCAATTCATAAAATTGATGAAAGGTTTGTGGGGGGTTCTGGTTGCTGTGAACTATATATATATATATATATATATATATATAAGCTAAGAAGTTTGAATGCATTTAAGCAATAACCGTGTCGTGTAGTAGCAATATTAAATACATGTTTATATCATCAGAAATACTTTTAATGTTTATTTGATGTATAATTAAAAATGAGATTGGAGTTCGAAATTGGAATTAGAGCTTAAAATTTTAATTATATCTCTTAATAAGTTTTTTTAGAGTTGAAATATTTATATGAAGTTATAACATAATTCAAATTAAATATATTTTTTTAATTTTTTAATCTTTATTCTTTAAATTATAATTTAAAGCATCACCCTTATTATGTGTCATTGTTTTCTCTACTTTATCGTTTTTTGTTACTATCTTCACCTTTACAGTTGTTTCTACTACTATCATTGTTTTTTTTAATAGCATCACCGTTAAAGTTATTGTTATTACTGCAGTTGAATATTCTCATTGTTATTATCATTACTATTAACATTTTTTTTTAACTCCTGTCACTCTTGTTTTCATTGTCTTCACCACTTCCTTGTGCTGCCATTGTTCCACTGGTGTTCTTGCTGCCTTTGAGTCAATTTTTTTATTTCAAAAAATTTCATTCCCAATCAATCCTAAATAAAGGTATAAAAAATAATTAAATTTAACTGAAATAATAATTCTGTTTTAATTTTTTACACAATCTAAAATAATATATATATAATTTGAAATCGGTTCTTACTCTTACAAAATTAAAATTAGAATTATAATTGAAATTACAATTCTAAATTATGTTCCAATTTCATGCCCCAATGGCCAATACAACCCGTAGTTGTATTTACCTATGAAATTATTTCCTGCATATTTACTTACCGTAGCTTTTCTTATAAAGATATTTTTTTTTTCCTGTAAGATAGTTAAAAAAAGTAGAATTAAATATAATTTACTGTTAAATTTTTATGCAAGAAAAACAAACGCATAGGAAAATCTACATTAAAATATAAATCTACAAGTAAATTTAACTACAAAATTTCATACCTTTTTTTCATATAAAACACTTTAATTTTCATCAAAATATGCCCCAAAATATGTAACAAACGGTGACCAAGATTTTTTATAATTGAATTTTACCATAAAACGACAAGAAATACTAGTCAAAGAAAATCAACAAAAAATTCATATATTGTTGATGGTGCCCCTTTATTAATTTTAAAAAAAAAAACAGGAAAGAGAAAATGGAAACTTTTCACAGGATTATCATTTAAAGCTTAGTTTTTTTAAATATTTTAATGGCATAAATTTATTATTAAAATAAATGTTCTAAAATTATTTTTATATATAATTTATATGTACTATTTCTTAAACAAAGTATTGTTAGTCTTTTTAATCATGGGTACTTCAAAGGATTAGTTATTTTTTTTTATCATAGTGTTTTAGTAGACATTCAAAGAAAAAAAGTGTTTCCAATAAAAAATATTTGTGATGTGAAAAGATTAATTTTAAATTTCTTTTAATATAGAAAAAACTAAAAAAAATAGATTAAATAAGTAAATAGTCTTTATATATATATATATATATTAATAATTAATTTCTATAACTTTTTTTTTGTTTTAGTCTTGTAAGTAATGAATAAACAGTAAGGTTCTATTTAATATTTTCACGTATAAGAATGATAGCTTTAAATATAATATTTAAATAAATAATTAATTATTAGAAAATAATTTTTTTAAATTTTAAATTTATCATTTTTTATTTTATTTTTATAAAATTTAAATAAGATAATTTTTTATCATTATATTTAATATTAAAATATGTTATTATTTAAAATTTATTAATATGTAACGTTTCAAAGTTTTTTAATTTATGTATTCTTATTATTATAAAAAAAAATAGTTTATATTTCTATTGTTTAAAATGAAATTGG